AAACTACACAACCCTGAGCAGCAAGCACACAGCTAGAAAAGGACAGTTTTACACATCTGTACCTCAGTGTTTAATACTAATAATATCACACATCATACAGGGACAGGACAGCACAACACTCATGTCAACAGTACTTACTCTCATCTGCAGGGTGGACAGAGCAGGACCATGTGAGAGAGAGAGAAATACAGGTTAGAGCACAACCCAACTGTGTCAGGAACCTAATTCTCAAGGATGGTCTAGACCAGTGGTTCTCAAAGTGTGGTCTGCGGACCACCAGTGGTCCGGGAGTGTGCGCCAGGTGGTCCGTGGGCTGACCTAATCATCTTTATTAAAGCAAGTCTACACTGTTTAAGTCAGAGGAAAGAATATTGTAGTGTCCGCACTGAAGGGGCTCCCCCTAGGAGCACTGCTGTAAATAGTGGCAGGAGGGACTTGTGTGTTGGTTCCAGGTATCGGGGTTTCAGCAGCCGATAAGGGGCCTGTGTTGTCAGTACTGGGGCACCAGCCTAGTCAGCTTGGCTGGCTTGAGGGTCTGCCGAAAGGGCAGAGTTTCCATTCATTCTCCTTGGCTGTGCCGTTCTGTAGCCTTGGTGTGTGAATGGAGCTGGAGTTATGGCGGACCACCCCGCCTCTTCACTCTCCCCATCAGCGCCTGTCGCTGCAGTGTTGGAGTTTCATGCACACGAAAGAAACGCTGTCACACTCTGAAAACGAGGTGGTCAGTCTGGCGGCGATGTCCTTGCCTGCCTGCAGCAGTCCGCTGTCGTTAGTGATGCACGGGTCGGCTCTTCTTTGACCCGCACCTGCCCGACCCCATTTAAGATGAGGAAAGTACTGACCCGAAGCCGGTCCGAACCCGCTCCATTAGAAATCACACCCAACAATATTCCAACATTCATCTGATCAACACTTATTGAAACAGCACATCCAGATTCCTCGTTTAAAACACGCTAACGTAGCCCAGTCTAGTGACTGTCAGTTTGGTGAAGTGCTTCACAGTCGATGCAGATAACGGAACCTGTGCTTTTTTCTTCTGTTGTGCTGACTAGTTCGCCAAACGTCTCCACCTGGCTCTTTTGTCCCTCTCTCTTCTGTATTTTGATCTCACTGTTCTGCAGTTGTGTCCTGATCTGCTCTGAAGAGGTTGCCATTCTGTTGTTTTCTTTGTAATACACTGTTGTCTGTTTGCTTACGTTTTCTCTCACTTTGCCTTGTGATACAACCAACTGGGGCTTAAATATGGTCAAACGTTGGTTTTAAACCTTAAAATCACTTTCGTTTAAGATACAAATGATTGGTTTTCTGCAATATCTTGCTTTTGGTCACATACAGTATCAACCCGATCTAAAATCTTGTTTTGAACCCGAGTCAACCAGCGCCTCACTAGTTGTCATGATTGTGTGGTTACGCTGTTTACGGTTTGATATGTGAGTGCGGCTCGACCGCTGCACTGATTACTGTTCGTACCGTTTTGAATCTCTTACTTTGGGTCTGAAGGTTCAAGGTGTGATTGAAAGCAGCAGTCGAAGCAGAAGGGGTCTTGTCATGGAGCACTGGCTCCAATCTGGGGCTCTGAAACTCCAACACAGCGACGAAACCTGACTGACACTGGAAGTGCTAACAGACACACAGCACTGTGACACTGAGAGAAAACTGGTCCTGAGGCTGTTTTCCACTGCGACACTGAAGACACAGATAACAGAGCCTGGCCAGCTCTCACCTGACACCCCAGACTGTCGCTCCCCCAGGACACTGCCTGAATTGTGCAGGAATAATACTTCACCTTTTACACATCACACCCCAAACTACACAACCCTGAGCAGCAAGCACACAGCTAGAAAAGGACAGTTTTACACATCTGTACCTCAGTGTTTAATACTAATAATATCACACATCACACAGGGACAGGACAGCACAACACTCATGTCAACAGTACTTACTCTCCTCTGCAGGGTGGACAGAGCAGGACCATGTGAGAGAGAGAGAGAAATACAGGTTAGAGCACAACCCAACTGGACCACGTCTGTGTGTTCTACTGTAGAGCAGGGGTGTCCAATCTTTTTATCAAATGGGTCTCAACCACTGCTAAAAGTCTGACACGCCGCATATATTAATCACTACTAGGCCTCATCTGCGTGGATAAGAGCGATTATAATATGGTAGTGCCCTTCCCAGTGGTGAGGAGGAAGTGCACCTAGTCGCTGAGGTACCACAAAGCAGGCTGGGAGCTGTAGCCAGGGGCAGTCGAGGGTCTGCAAGATGACCAGCAGCTGACCCTGCTCATGTAAATAGACCTGTGTTGGCTACAGTGCTCTCGGAATCTTAGTGCCCCATAACGGCGTGTGTAGAGTCTGTGAAAGAGTTACCACCCTAAACCCGTGTACATGTTCGTCTGTCTCCTGATGTGTGTGGAAATTCTGTGGCTGGTGTTCTTGAAAAGGAGAATAAAAAGCAGGTGCTTGTGTGCCTACTTCGTCTCTGCTTGTCCTTTGTCCTGCATGAACCCCTAAGCGTTAGTAGGCATATTAAGAGATTAGTGCTTAGTAACAGTCTGGGGTCTTCTGGGTGACCAGAACGTTAGGCCTCTGAAATGCCTTGTTTGTAAATACTGTATATAAAGTAGCATGTTTTCTTGTGTGTTGTGTCATTGGTTTAGAACTATCTGTCCAACCACATGTGCCCATTTGTAACAATATAACTTTGTGTGTCGTATGTTTTGTGTCTTGTGTAGTTTATGGTAGTAAGTATTTGTTTAACTACGTGTGCCTGAATTATAACCCTTCTCAACAAAGCTGTGCCAGAGAACAAAGAATTTAGGTGCCTGTAGTAATACCAGCCGCTCGGGGATAGACATTATTTACAAGTCTGGGGGTTATAAATAATAATTTATCGATTGACTAAACCGCTCGGTCAATTCCGGATCTTTACCAGTTTCGTAGCCCCCATTTTAAACACTTTCATAGCTATTAACTATGTTGTACGTATATATATAAGCAAAGTGCTTCTGAAGTTGCACATCTGATGAAGGACATCCGTCCGAACCGTCCAGTTTCTCAGGAAACCTTGTGTACTACTCCATAACTGTTCCAACCTCTCTTTCTATATACAGACTGTCGCTCCCCCAGGACACTGCCTGAACTGTGCAGGAATAATACTTCACCTTTTACACATCACACCCCAAACTACACAACCCTGAGCAGCAAGCACACAGCTAGAAAAG